ACTAACAGAGCCATCAGAACTTCTCAATGGTCTGAGCTGGAGTTTGAGAGGAATAATTGGGGTAATATTTGGTTTGTTACTGGCGACTGGAACGATCTTTGCTCAAGTGCAGATAAGCTGGGTGGGAATCCAAGGCCTTATAGTAGTTTTTCGGGCTTTAACTCCTTCATCGGGAATATGGAAATAGAGGAAATAATGATGTTGGGGCATCAGTACACCTGGTGTAATAACAGGGCTGCAGAACGCTTAGTGGAGGAAAAATTGGATAGAGCCTTTGGCTCCATGGATTGGCATCAGTTATTTCCAAATGCCAAGGTTCTTAATAAGGTGGCAAGCTCTTCTGATCATTCTATCTTGTTGGTGGATGTTGGTCTTCCTAGGGACAGGAAAGTTAAGAGATTCCACTTTGATAAGAGGTGGGTTGATAAAGATGGCTTTGTGGAAGTGGTAACTAAGGCCTGGTCTCTTCCAGTTCATGGCACTCCATTTTACAGACTCAAAGAAAAGGTAAAGAACACCAGAGCTGCTCTGCTCCTATGGAGCTCAAAATTTCATTCTCAGAACCAGCTCTTAATTGCATCTCTCACTCAAAAACTTGAGGGATTGAGGGAGCAGCAAATTGCCTCGAATTGGGATGATTGGAACTCTACCAGAATAGAACTTTTGAAAAGGCTCACCGTAATGAGGAGCTTTACTGGCAGCAGAAGGCTAGAATGAACTGGCTCAAGCATGGTGATTGCAACACCAAATTTTTTCATGCTTACTCTCTTCAAAGGAGGCGGCAAAATGCTATATCCAGACTGATCTCATCGAGAGGAGAGGAGCTTTCTTCCAAACAGGCCATCCAATCCCATATTTCTGAATTTTACTCAACTCTTTTTTCAACTGAAGGCTCCTGGGGAGGAGATGCAGTCCTTCACTTAATCGCTCATTCAATATCTGAAGAGAAGAACACTGCTCTTTTGAAGCCAGTTGAAGAGGAGGAGATCAAATCGGCTCTGTTCAGTCTTCCTTCTGACAAGGCCCCTGGGGAGGACGGTATGAGTGCCTTCTTCTACCAACATCTTTGGTCTATTATTCAGGTTGATTTTATTGTTGCAGTTCTCAGTTTTTTCACCTCTGGTCAAATTTTACAATATTGGAATCACACTATTCTGTCTTTAATTCCAAAGAGTGCATCTCCAGAATCTCTTAGTCAATTTCGACCTATCAGCTTATGCTCAGTTGTGTATAAGGTCATCTCAAAAGTCCTTGCACAGAGACTCCATACATGTCTCAATGACTGCATCAGTGGACAACAATCGGCTTTTATTAAAGGGAGGCAGTTGTTGGATAATGTCATAGTGGCCCAAGAAGCCTTCCACTTTCTGAACAGGCATTCTTCTGGTAAGAATTTTTTTATGGCCTTAAAACTTGATCTTATGAATGCCTTTGATAGAGTTGAATGGATGAGCATTAAGAAGATTATGGTTCAGATGGGTTTCCACTTAGACTTTATTTAACTGATTATGGCTTGTATTACCACCACTTCTATTTCTTTCAAAATTAATGGTGAAGTAAGTGGTTATGTCTGTCCTTCAAGAGGAATCCGGCAAGGGGATCCTATATCCCCTTATTTGTTCATCATAATTTCTGAACTTTTATCTGCTTTGATTTTGGATGCCTGCTCTTCTGGTAATTTCAAGGGTTTAAAGCTGTCTCAAAATGGTCCTACAATTTCTTACCTGCTATTTGGTGATGACTCAATATTTTTTTGTAAGGCTGGTGTTGATCAGGCTCAAGTTCTTATGGATCTTTTGAACAAATACAAGCTCTTTACTGGTCAAACGGTGAACCTTCAAAAATCTGCTATATTTTTTAGTATAAACACTCCCAGTACTCTTCAACATAGTATCTGTACAGTTCTTCATGGTATTCAGACTCACAAATCCACTAGATATCTTGGCTTGCCTTTAGGCATTGGAAGGTCAAAGAAAGAAGTGTTTTCTTATTTAGTGGATGCTGTTCAGGATAAATTACAGAGCTGGAAAGGCAAATTATTATCTTCTGCAGGTAAAGCAGTGCTGATGAAAGATGTGTTGCAGTCTTTGCCTATTTTTACAATGTCATGCTTTAAACTGCCTGTATCCATTTGCTCTGCCATCTCAAGGCTTTGTGCAAAGTTCTGGTGGACTACCTGCTCTGAGGAACTCAGGGGTATACATTGGAAAAGCTGGGATAAGCTCACAATTCCCAAGCAAAATGGAGGCCTTGGTCTTCTGGATATTAAACTTTTTAATGAGGCACTCATTTGCAAACAGCTGTGGAGGATAACCAGCCAGCCAGACCTTTTGGTTAGCAAGGTTTTAAAAAGCAGGTATTTTCCCAACACCTCTATCTTTAATGCTGCAAAATCTCAGAACAGTTCTTGGTTATGGAACTGTTGGTTGGATGTTCTGCCTTTCTTTTCTAAATGGCTGAAAACTGAGATTAGGGATAGAGCCTCAACAAGAATTTCTGATCTTAATTGGGTGCCTAATTTGATGAAACCCTCTCCTGATATTTTGGATATTGCTAGAGACCACTTAATTTTTGTTAAAGATCTGATGCTTGATTCTGGTCAGGGTTGGAATGATTGGCTAATTAAACAGGTTTTCAATATTGAAGACAACACATCCATTTTAAATATCAGTTCTCTGAAACCTGATAAGCCAGACAGGATTTATTGGGCATTGGATAAAAAAGGCATTTTCTCAGTATCCTGCACTTATGCCCACTTGGTGGCTCAAAAAGTCAGAACTATGGACTTACCTGAATGCAGCCTAACTCCTAATCCTTGGCTTCTGTCTCTTAAAAGAACTTGGTCCCTTAAAGTGCAGATGAAAATTAAGATCTTCATTTGGAAATGCTTTTCAGGAGCTTTGCCTGTCCTTGTGAATCTGAAGAGTATGGGGTTAGATATTGATGTCATATGCAGGAGCTGTGGTGAATCCCCAGAGACCATTGAGCATGTTTTGCTGCAGTGTCCAAGAGCTTGTACCATATGGGAAATAGCTCCAGTTCCTTGGCCTGATTTTGTTCATCTCAGACACTCATTCAGAGCTTGGTGGCATGGTGTTTGTAGCATTGGTCTTTCAGAAATAGCTGAAGATAGAATTCAGCTGTCCACCTATCTCCTCTGGTGGCTCTGGAAGACTAGCAATCTTTGAATTTTTCAGCATTCTTCCCCTCCTCCCCACATTGCCATTAAAGTTGCTCTTTCTGACTGGATGAGCTTCTCTGCAGCTTTGGGGAGTCATGCTTAGTTTTCTAGCTTTGTTTCTTTTTTCAGGCTTGCTGTTTTGCTTTGTTTGTTTTTTTTAGTTTTCAAGAGCAGGAGTTGACTAGGCTTTGAGGCAGTGGTCCAACATCTGTCCTTTTGTTTTATTTGTCTGGGTAGGTTCAGTTGAGGTTCTAGGCCATCTGTTAGATGCGTCTCTCATGTTGTATTTGGTTGAAATTTGTATTTCCTTTGT